CTGCAGTCATAATTATGCCATCATTCAACATTGCACGAGTAAAGGAGTCGGAATGGAAATGAAGCTATTGCTGTAGCAGTGTCTTGGCAACATTCAAATTGCTGTCTTACCCAGCCCTTAAAGGTCAGCTCAGTCCTTAGCAGCGGTATGATCAGAGAAGCAAAATACATGCATTTTTGTCCTAATCCTTGAAAAGGGCTGACTTGTATTCCAGACATGTTCTCTGCTGCTAGACTATGTTTCTGCCTGGATCATCGTACATTCATTATGATAATGTTCTAATACACAGTGCTGGAAAAGGTTGTGGCAAGCAACACGAAGTAGACATTAAATAAGTTAGTAGAATGATAAATAAATACTGTATACCCATCTAATATGTCAATACATTAATCAATGTATGACTCCTTCATCTTTTCTGCAATGTTTTAATATTTTGTGTGCATTGTAAGCATTGAATTTTTACAACGCTATAACTTCTGCAGCTGAAGACAGCTAATTACCTCCCCTGGGATGCACTGAGTATGTCTGCATGTAAAGTCTCCATTTAAATGTTGAATTAAATATAAATTGTGTAAATTAATCATATTAGATGGTTAGTTTCTCTGCCATATGACATTAATGTGAATGAAAGTATATTTCTGCATACCTTCAATATATGCTGCTGATCTTCTCCATATTGGCATTTGTTATACTCTTTATACAATTACATGCTGCCAAGTTTGATAAGGCAGAAATCTTTATAATAATAGTAATTCATTTATAATAGTAATTTTTGTTTACATATTTTTTTTTTACTTAATGTGACTGACTCACTCATGTTTTCATAACATCCATTTTCTTTTTTCTTATCTCATGCTCTACTCTTCTTTGCTCATCTTCTTTCTTGTTACTTGCTGCTGCAACAGCAGTTTCCCCACAGGAATCATTAAAGCTGCATAACTTCACACACTGGCAGGCCCAAATAGTAGTGAAAGAGAAAAGAAGAGAAACTTTTTACTTCACTACTTAAATATCTTGTAAGGTGATACAAGTAAGCTGCACACAGCAAGGTCATGGAAACCACAGGGCCTAGAAATTCGTCTTTATGTGACCCAGCATGCAAGTCGAGCAGTGTCCACTGCACAGGCTTGCCAGTAGTATTGAAGTGTCGCAGTACACTGCAGTGAGTTTTTTTCATGGCAAAGTGAAAAACATGTGTCACCACCCACACTGCTAAAAGTAAGCCTCATTTTGTCACAGTAACTCAGACAGTGTAGACTGAGTTTGTAACACTGAATTAAAGTCGTTTTGCTTCCTTTGCAGTGATTGGCAGTGTGTAGTTTGCCTGGTATGTGTGTAGTATGCAGATCCAGGAAAGCTGTTGTCAGACTCAGAGTAAGAGGTTGGTTTACTTGAAGCATTACTGCCACTGTGGATCCAGCACAAATTAAGCTAAAAAAAAGAGTCTGTACATACAGCCTTGTACCAAAGGATAACAAATGCACGAGGGGAAAAACATCTAACCTTTCATTTGCTCATAGCCATTAGGAAGACAATTTGTATTTTGTACTTTAGTTGCACTTCTCCTTTTTACTGTCTGCAAAGAAATGTCAATACCTGAATAACATTTGAGGAAAATATGGATTGTTTTTCTGTTAGTAGGAATGCTTGTGTCCATTGCAATATATTTGATGAGACATCTAAATTTTGCACACAGAAATTGTACTTCAGAGTTTCATCCCTTCTTTTCTGTAATAAAATATACGTACAGTAAAAGCATCTTCTTAACAAAAATACTTCATTACTGCATCACTGATGCTATATCGCTGCATTTACCCTTACTCAATTGAGCACCAGGCCTACAGTTCCCAAATCCACATTGCTCACCAAACCATAGCAAATTGTCCTGATTGGCCGACATGGAGAGGAAGTCAGGGCGCTTGGGTTCCTGCCTGATGCGATTTATTGCCCTGCACACAACAGACTAATGGCCCATTGGCTGCAAACAGGGAGCAAAAAAGAGGCTGCTGCTGCTAATGAGGACTGTCTGTGAGAAGACGGTAGAGAGAGGAAGACCAGAAAAGAGGTGAAGACAGGGAGAGAGAAACAGAGAAACAACACAGACTGAAAGGGAGGGGGATGGCAGATGAAGTGAAGGGGTGAGAGCGAGAGACGAGAGATGGTGACAATAAGCGGAAAAAGTGACAGAGACAGAAGTGGAGAGTGGGAAGAGACAACGAGTGAAAAAAGGAGAAAAAGAGAGACAAGAGAGGGACAGCCGCACTGTGAGGAAAAGAGAGAAATAGGAAAAACAGAGCAGTGTTTGATAATAAGGATTACTGATATAATATTGCAATTACTAAATGTAGGCCTACGTTATAACAACTCAGTTTGAAATTCAAAAATTAAAACACAGTCACACTAATGATTACTTTGACATTTTGGGGGTCAGCTCTTTACCAGGAATTATATGCGAGCATCTGTGTGCTCAGTGGAGAGACAGGTGTGGGACCTCTTAGTGTAGCTTGGTGCACAAAATAAAATTTGGGAGGCCAAAATACCTAACCCTATATTCAGGAATCACCTGCATTAGGACTTCTGAAGAGTGTGTCACCAGGGCTAAGCTAGCTGTTTATGGTTAGTAAATCCTTCTAAACCACAGTATGACTGTCTTGTTTTCTATGTCTACACGTGTATAATACAGATGTGATGTGTGGGTAGGAGTTGCTGGAAGGTGACTTTGACAGATTTTACATAACTAAAATGATGTTAATTATTCAGTAAGTAACAGGCAATGACTAAACACTAAAATGTGTCAAGTTATTCGCCAAATACTAAAAAACAGATGGACTGCTTAATGGACTAATAGACAAGGAAGAGTGCATGGACAGTGGAAGAAGAGAGAGAGATGGCAATAAACAAGCAGGCGAAGTGAAGAAGTGGAAAAGGAAACTGAAGAAGTGAAAAAAATGACAAAGAAGGATCTCATAGCATTAGAGCAGTGTGCACTCACTCCTGACAGCTCCCACTTAAATCACAGAGGGCACAAGGTGAGCACCAGTCTAACACACAAGCATAAGGACATGTCTGTGCTGGTTCAAACATGTGTATTACATACACTGGTACATTTAGTGGTGTCGTTTGTGCACACTATAGTAGCCATAGAGACCCATGGGTTTGTGACCAGGGGGTTTCCAGTTCAAATCCTTGCCTTTCCTTCGGGGATGAAAGTGCTCTGCCCACCTGCAGCACAGTTCCTTTGTAAGGAATTTGATTTCCAACAGCTTGAGTGGAAGCTGCTCAGGGGCTGCAGTGTGTCTGTACACCTGTGTGCAAACCTCACAATTAAAATAAAAATGTATTCTAAAACACTACAGGACAAACAGCTACGTGAGATGCACTCTGCAGTCCATTCTTCTATTTCTCTTGTTCTATTATTTCTGTTTGCAACCAGTCACATTTGGTATCAGAAGAGGTGTCCATATAATAGGATTCACTTTGGTAGTTCTAAGGAGGTGGTCAGTATGTTTCTACCAGAAGAGAGAAAAAGATGAAGATGACAACCCAAATGCTCATCTTATATTAGTATTTGTTGAATGTGTGCATGATGATGAAATTATCTGTTTCTGATGTTTCTGTGAGGTATTTAACCTCCAGTGTCCAGTCAAAAAATATTTTGTTCATGTCCCACTCAAGCACATTATGGCGCTCAAATATGAAAGTATTGTCATGGGGACACCTGCCCTGTCCTCCTTTCTTCCCTCCTCTGTTTGAGCGAGTTTTCATTGAATTCTCCTTGTCATTCTCCACCCGTCCACCAGAGTCCTGTGCCAGTCGTCTGACCCTGCCTCCTTCAAGCACACCTACCGCAGCCCCCTTTCCCACTTTCATTTTCCAGACTATCAATGTGGCTTTACAGCCATCAGGGTTCAGCCATTCCTGCCTGTACCTTGTTCCCCTCGCAGTTCCTGTTCTAGAAAACTGTCTAAGCTGTTATCTGTTCCTGCTGACTGTCTGTGACCGGACTCTGAATTTTTGCATTGCATTTACATATTTAGACTGAAATGGAAATAATCCAATACATTTTTAAAACGTGAGCTTGGTATTATAACGTTTTTCCTCAGGTTTATACCTCTGATGCTTGGTGTGGACAGAGGTTTGCTGTGTGGAGTACACCTGTACATCTCTGCATCAATGTGCTAAACCAATGCAGAGCAAAAATGCAGACAGAGAATAGAGTGACACACAGTGGCTGTCTTTCCAGGCAGTCAAGCAAACGGCTGTTTAGCTTCAAGGGCCCACATTAAATTCAGCAACGCCGTTAGCCGACAACCTTGATGAACCTAAATGAGTGTGTGTCAAAAGAAAGGAAGCAACTCTGCTCCGGTTCCCTGACAAGTAAATTACATTTCAAGTAGTTTCCTTTAGTATACTAAAACAAGTTAGGCCACACACCTTCAGCCTTCCCTCTTTAATGCTTGCATGGATAATGGGAGCAGTGCCAAACATCTTTTAAAGCAATCTTACAACAGACTAATGATGTTTTACATCACATATGAGGAGTGGAGGTTTGTTATGATCAAGATCTTTTTTATTTGCATCCTTCTCTTCTGATGTTATGACCCTGTATCTGAGCTGAATGCAGATTCTGAGACACTCATCACACTCATTTTCCTGCTTTTCCCCTTTCTTGCCCCAAACTCACACTTCCTCCTCCCATACACCCACACCTCTGCAAGCAACAAGCTGTTAGCAGAACCAAAGACTTACATTTATCGGTCCATCTGTAAGAATCCATCAGCAGGAGCCACAGAGTATATATCTATTGTGTGTGTATAAATAACATCTTCCTCCTTTCCCTTTCTGACTTAACTGGCTGTGCCCTGCAGTGGAAGGTCTCCAGGGTGTTAGGGTCCACGCAGGGAGTTATTCCCACAGCAGTGCTACAGAGCGAGCTGTCACTGGCTCAGCAAACAGGAGGCACAGAGGGTAAACGCCTGTGCCTGCCAAGGGAACAAGGAAGCACAGGAAGAAAAACGGTGGACAGGAGCAAACGGCACATCACTGCCTCCATTTAAGTTCAGGGAAAAGATGGATTTTTACAACCATTTTCTTAAAGAAGTGCTGAAAAGGTAGATACTGTATAAGCCTCATATTCCTGCATGTATCCTACATCTGTCCTGTCTATACAGAGCCATTGCAAATCTCCATTTTATTTTTTTATTTTTAAACAACTCTGCTTTAGTGCTTTAGCAGATTCAGAACTCAATTTACCACTATCCCTCTTAAGTAAAAAAAAAAAGACTAATTATTCTTATAAAGTTTTCTTTGATTGAGCCACAGTGCAATGTTATTTCAGTTTATTTAAAAAATAATTGAAAATCCAACAATAGTCTTTGCATGCGTTGATATAGCAGTACAGTATTTCCAATGTGTGCAGAAACAGTACAAATTGTTAGTTTGTGTTTAACAATGCCACAGAATTGTTGTTACTGTAAGTAACAGCTATAATAAAGATGCTGCATTTACAGTAATGTGTAATGATTAGGAGGTGGTCTTGGTGCTGTGAATCTCAAAGCCAAGATTGGAGAGCGACACCCAGTGGCCACCTGTAAAACTCTTTGCCACACCAAAGCTTCATAGGGATCTGTGAATTTTTACAGCCTCGTACCTGACGGCACAATCACAGTGTAATCCCATCTGTCAAGCCAGAATGATAGTTAAAAGATGCATAAATATATAAGAGAGATAAGTTTCAAAGTCTGATCAGCCCAGCGCCGGCCCTTGCAAAACCGTCTGTGTCCTCATGTGTTCATAATTTAGTCATGCTGGGATCCTTTTTGCTCATTCCTTTCATTTGCCAGCTATTTTCATCACTACCACCCTGACGCAACAGCGCAGCATCCATCTCGTCAGTTATTACCATCAGGAGTAACACATAAATCGAAATCGATGCAGTCGAATTCCTTGCTTTGATCTATTATTTCTAACCTTAACTCGAGCGCACATCACTTAAGATCATTTATGCATGTTGCATGTGAGAAGAATCTTAACTTTTTTTGCTGAAAGTACAAGTGGTATATAGAAGATCAGCCTGCCACACTGTTTGTATCCGTGAATGTAAATGACCTTGGAATAATAGTTACACAGCTGTTCAAACAGAAGGGGGGGAAAGAAACAGATCAGTGCATCATGTCTGTTTGAGGTTTGTAATAGTGCACTGACTAATAATCTAATAAAGGTTTATGATAAATAATTTTACATTACAAAAATAGTGTTTCAAATAAGATAGGCTCAAAACAAACCAAGGACATTGCAGTCTGTTTCTGGCAGCATTTTGGTTTTCAGTAAAGGAAGAAACCAGCAAAAAGGCAGCTTAACAGAAAAAGACTGTGTGCAAGAAGAGACAGGGCAACTTGCTTTAGAGTAAACAACACATCACATGTTTTAGGAATATTAAAATTGCAGCTTTGTTTCTCTTTGCAGTGCTTATTTAGAACCCTGCCTGGTTTCACATTCTGTAAACTTTATTTTTCAACGTGTGAAACAGAACTTTCAGAAATTTGTTTTAAAAATTGCATTCATAAAAGCTGACTTTTAGATTTTGCTTCAAATATTGTGAATCTTACGCCGTATCATTTCATTCCCAACAGACAGAATGAAGGTCAAAACAATGTCACAGACATGTCTGTTGGCCAATAAAGACAAAATCTTACAACAAATGGGAGACAGCAGTGTACCTGTGCATGTATCTATGATCCTTTAAATATTTTATGAGATATTCATGAGTTTAGGTTAAATAAACAATACAAAATCTTTTTTTTTGTTTTGTTTTAAAGAGAAACAAGTACAAGGTTTCAGATGTTAACCCTGGAGTGGTACTGGGAGCATAGCTGCATCGGCACAGTGCTTGTACCTTTGAGACTGTTATTCTACTGCTATTCTATTTTTTTTCCTATCATTTCAGTAAGTGAATATGATATAGCAATTTGAAGAAAAGTCTAGTATAAATATTTGTCTTCACATATCTCATCTTTAATAGGTTATCCCAGTTTGCTTTTACTTTATCTTTCCTTTTTCCATCTAGATAGATTTTTGCATCAAAAACATAAGCTTTTTTCCCTTTTTATCAGCTTAAATGTTTTTCAGCTCTTTCTTTGTGTCTCTTTCTTGCCTCTATATATCTTTTTCCTTCTGTCTTGTAAGCCCATCATTTCAATAAGCCTTATATATAACACTCAGTTCCACATCTATAGTCTACAGTCTTAAGTTTGATCATACAATAAAATGCAGGTGTACTGCACCATAAAACACAGTGACACAGTTGCAGGCTGTTGAAATTGTTGCAATTTCTTATAACCCTTTCTCTATAGAGGAATGTACAGTTTCATGCCATATTTGATTTGCAATGACAAAGTGAAATAAAATCTTTAGATTTTTTTTTGCTTTTCCATTTCTGTCTGCTTGTATCTTACTTTTGCATACCCCCCTCCCTCTCTGACCTTCCAACCATGAAGAAACCTAGAAGCCATACCTCCTCTCAGGCACAGTGGAAGCCATCTGACACGCTCCATTACGTTGTGCTTGTTCCAATTAAAGCTGACACCATTTGCTGTCAAGAGCATGGTGATACCCTGCAGAAAGGTAACCCCACCCCTGCAACACCCACTGCCCAGGGGGTTTAAGTGTTTCTAGATGTATATTATGTTGTTACAAGAAGATCTATACTGTCAGGTGGCGATCCAAAGGTTGGACCTCCAAAGCACTCCCCCTGTGGGTAGATGTGTGCTCGGCATATGTGTTCACTAATTAGGTTTTAGACCAAAATACAAACCTAATTTCATACAAAATGAATTGCTACTTTAAAATCTTGCAGGTTCAAAATGCATGCTGAGCTGCCTTATTGAAATTAATTATAAGAATTTCATCCCAAAATAAAGGTCACTATCAAGAAAATTAACCATTCGAGGGATCTGACTTCTCAGTGGTAAACTGTAAATGTATTTAAAGCCAGACATCTCTCCCAATCTGGAATGGCCAGTGCCATTTGTGCTGATCCTTCACTGGCTTCCCACTCACAAAATACAAGTTCAACATGATGTTCTACAAATTGAAGATTGATTGAAAAAGACATGGAAATAATAAATAAAGAAAAATCCTTCAGACAAAACAACTGTGGATGAATAATATACAGTGGGAAGCAATCAGACAAAAGGTCCACTTTCTTTCGTTTAACTCTAACATAAACATCACAAGACATCAAGAAAAGGATATTGGGTCATGTCTGAGGCTGTGGCACTAGAAGGAACTGCATAGAAGCTTTAAATGTTTTAGCCAATGCAAAACATGTGATATATCCTTCATACCTATGTATGTAAATGATTAACAAGACCTGACTTGACTGCAACGCTTTACTGAATTCATGCTGTACACAAATTGTTTGTACACATTTTTTTGGAATATTAGAGACAATTCATCACTTTTTTTCTCGCCACGTGGGGGAAGACTAATGTGTAGGCCTGAAACAGAAGACTGACCAAAAAGAATCTGTTTGGCTCTTAAAGCAATGAGGCTGAGCAAAGGTTCATCAGCCTTTGGCTAAAAATAAAAACCCTGAGCCAGCAGGCTAGACAGTCAGCCTCTGTGTTCCATCTTTAGATAAACTATTAACCAAATATAATACATGTTGTACTTCATGTCATATTACCTGTATCAACATTTAGACGTTCACTGTATTTTGTAATGTTTTTCAGAGAGGCTACTTTTAGAAAATCCATCCATGATGACTGTTTACATAATTTGCTTTGACTGGAACTTTTCTCTGAACGTCTCATCAAGCAGAGTAATGTTAATGTACAGAATCAGGGGACAGTAGAGCCCCGATGAAAACTATCTGTTCGGCACTCAAAGCAATGAGGCTGAGAGAAAGTTAATCAGAAGGCCCCTCCTTTGATGAAATGACCCCAAGTAAAGTTGTGGAGAAGCTCAATATGTTTCCTCTGCAGCGGGCTGCAGTCCACCGACCACCCAGAACCAATCTGAGGCTTATGACGGTGGCAGGGGAGAAGATACATTAGGCCTCCCTCCAGTGGGTAATGAATGGAACTAATAGGAATAGGCAATCCCAGTCCACACCACTAATATATGTAGAAAAATACTAGATGCAGCCTCTGTTGTTTGTTCCTAAAGCACACTATGATGCCTGTTTTGAACACCACTTTCTCGTGCCAAAATGTTTTGATCATTTTGATCTTAATAGAAATTGCAACTGTTGTAACTGAAACTTAATTTAAAGTGTAACTGTTTTTACATGTTTTGAAAATGTTATTCTGTTATGAATAAGATTCTTTCTAGCCATGCTAGCATTGATGTTCTGGGGATGACTGTATGTTCGGTTGGTCCACCACCTAGTGAAATATCTCAACATATCTCAGATGACACAAAACACAAAACTAACTATTACTAATAACCTACAAACTATTAGATTGCCATGAAAGGTAATACAGACATTCATGCTCCCCAGAGGATAAGCTGTTATAGCCTATATATATATTGTAATGTAACTTATCTTATCATCAACTAGCATCATTGTCAGGCACAAAATTTTATGGATATAAAAATGTACTTTAAATTATTACTTTTGGGCTTTATTGAGCTCTGTGTAATGTAATAACATGCCAAGATGTTGGCTTAGTCCATCATCTCTGCACAGGGCCAGGTATTTTTAAATTCTGAACTTGATTATCTAGTTTAGACAACTAAATTTTTTTTAATCTGACGAGCATGTCAGTTCTATTTAAAAAATGGACACCCTGATTGTCATTACATTTACATATTAGTGTGTGGTATCTGTCTCCAACTCCAAGCTACATTACATTGCTGGAGATGCAATTTACTGGACATTTTAATCAAAATGTCTAGCAGGACCACGAGTCAACACTTACCAATGTTGTACCTATTAAGTCGCGCAGGACATTGTTTCAGATGGGATTTGGATAGATCATGTGGACAGTACTATACCAAGATACATTATCTTTATTAAAGCTATTGGAGTGGACACATGAAATATCCACCCAATAGGTAATTAATCCCACCCAGCTCAGGTATGTAGGACCTTGTCGTCGTCTCATCATTACAAGAGACGCTTTCTCCGTCTCTTAATTCAACAGCCATCATATTATTTTGATTATGTTCCACTAGGAGAGTTTTCAAGGCCTCCTCTTTCCCTTTGACCTTTTTGACCCAGGAGGGGAGGTGAGACTGTGGCGCCGACAGTCTCCTGCACAGAGAGCCTGGTTCTTTTCAGATTCTCAGATGGGATCTCTAGGTGTCAATTTGTTTTATCCTCTTTAACAGAACACTGACTCCTCCACAGATGTGAACGACACTCTACACTCAGGTTTTGGGAAATGCTTGTTGTTCTACAAAAGATGGGTTCATAATTAAGTGCCTTTTTAGTTGTAAATCAGGATACATAGCCCTGAAATGTGTTTACATCTCTTTTGAACTGACAGGTCCACCTCCAGAGAGAAACTCCTCTGGAATCCACATCTGGTCTCCTGTTACTCCTTTCCCCCTTTCCTTTAAGGTGATTTATGAGAGGTCCATGTACTAGCCCTGACATTCCAATATACATAGCAGGTCCAGCATTTGCAGTGATATAGATTTAGTTCTAATTTAATACTATTGTAAAATTTCATCTCCTCCTAATTAACAGATTGCCACCCAGCATGAGAAGGTCGCACATGTAATGTTTGTCTGATGTTTCTGTCTTCAGATTGGACTGAGTTACAAAATCATGTGTAAAATGAATGTTTGATGGAGCCACAGTGCCACCTTTTGATAAGATTCTGGTATAGTTGTAAAAGGTACTTTCAAAACAAACTTTGTTTTATAATTGTGTATTATTCCAAATAGTAAACGCCTGACACATAATTTTTATAACAAGGATTAAACTAGCACTATACGAAATATGTACAATCCATCAGTGCTGCTTTATATACATGTTTGATGGTTAATGATTTAATGATTTTAATCAGCTCTACTTTTCCTTTACATCAAGTGATTTTGGTTATGTTATGTTAAAACATGTGAACTATGTATTAAGTCATGGTGGGTTCTGTGAACGGTGAATTATGATCTCGAAACTTTAAAACACGATAGGAGTAAGATAAAGCTACGAATATCAAAATATCACCAGAGGAAGTGACGCGCGCGGTCAGCTCCTCTCGTCCAGTTCCGCCTCCAGAATAAAAGATATAAGAGATAGACTCTGGTCACTCCTTCTCTTCTGATCTCTTCTAAACTTCGTTCTCTTCTTTTCTTCTTTCTAAGATCCATTCGTTATTTACTCTCGTTCTTACTTTTAATTTCCGTACTTTACTTCGTTTGCGACACGTGTTGGATTTTTCTTCAAGTTATAAATTGCAGTGCTGAAGTACCTTTCAAGTACTTTTATTTTGAAAGCTCAAGACACAAACGAATTTCTTCTTTTATATTTTTGTAGTCTTATCATCAAGTATTGTCACCTGATTCACAGAAAGTGAATTTAATCTAATTCTTGGATTGATTAACTACGGAGAAGTCGCCAGGCCAGCGTTTCATCCTCCAGTTATTTTTAAACAAGAAGCTGAATTAGTTTACAATCAAAGCTGAAGACCAACCACTTGACATTATTATCCAGCGACTCTCTGCCTCCAACGCACTCAAGCGTAAAACTACGCGCTGGGCCTTTGAATCGAAGGGCCACTGGTACCAGGGCCGAGACGCAACTTCCTTCGGCCTGTTGGATCAGTGATGCAGAGCCGCAGTTGAGCTAAAAGCCAAGGACCTGGAAGTTCCATCTACAAACAAAGTAGGCTGACTCTCCGGTACACGGCCGGATTCACACACATGAAAGAGAGCTGGTGTCTGTCTGTAAGCTTTGATTCCCATCTTTTAAGTTTAAGAGAATTTTCGATTAGGGCCTCTCAGTTCTAAAATTTACTCTCCTAATATTTTAAACTTACTGCCGCATCGCAAAATCCACCATCGCTCCTGAATCACCTAATAGTAATAATTCATATATTGTCCACATATTCTGTTACTTGTGGTCATTTGTTTGAATTATCATTTCATACTATTTACTCTGCATTAGTTTAGTTAATAAACATATATAACCGTATGTCCTTGTCCGTGCCGGTTTGATTTGATGCGGGGAAATCGATGAATCGTGTGAAAGAAATCACTACTTCAGAAATATGAGATTGAACATAGATTAAGAAATTGATTTGAAATTGATTTGATTAGATCTGTGGAATAATTTCCTCCGGATTAGGTGGTGCCCCATTTACGAGTGTATTATTAATCAACCAGTGATTAATTACCTTTCTTATTGAATAGTAACCCCTACAGGTATGTGGTTCTGAAACAGACCCCAACCTCTGACCTTCCTGGAGGGTGGTTTGGAATGTGGGTGTATAAGATTATTACTCCACAAAGATCAATAAATCACATTATTCTAATTTAATAGAGCCCATTGGAATGGACCTGACCAGAACAACTAATAAACCAAGTCTATAATGCAGAACTGGCCATAAGTGATTTAATCAAATATTGCCTTCTAAGTCATTATTTTTCATCTTCAAACTGTATGTGTGTTTTCTTCATTATTTAATACTGAATTAATTAACATAAGCTTAATGTTACTAAAGAATTCTACCATATTTCCACATTAAAAACAAAATGATGTGATTTATCTTGACAGAACCCTAGTCTACTTTGTGTAAGTAGTTAAAACAAGACTAAAATATTAAGGCAGAGGAATATTTCCCCCAATGTATAATGGGAACTTCAGTTGCATAGGCTTGCATCTAAGACATGTATTTTCCTAGAGCCTTAACTGCATGTGAGAGTGATGTAACAGGTCTGTATGTCAGGCAATTCAGTATCCACTATTTATGAAGGCTCATAAAAGGGAATATAGAAGTGTCAGTGACCATTTGCGTAGATATTTTGATAGTTGACTGACTCAGCCTTTGACAAATTTATTCATGAAGCTCTTTTATGAAGGCCATGTGCTTTTTAGAGAAGTGCATGAAGTTCATGAACACAGATAAGACAGAAAAAAACAAGAAGATAAACAACTTGGACACGATTGGCTCCTTGCTTTTTTGCTTCCAAAGGGACCTTTTGACCAATGCAATGGCTATCTGTGCAAATTCTGGAATTCCAATTTTAAATATGAAACGTGTGAAAGTCAAGGTTTGTAGGGATGCTTCCAGCTGAAGCAGGGCCAATCCTCCACACTCCCTCCGAGCAATTACTTCAGGGGTAATTTGGGTGGCTCAGCTCGGAGTCGTGCACGGGTCCAGTTTTGCAAACCCGCAGCTGCCCACACCCGCAGAGCTCAGAACCGGTTAACTGCAATTATCTTTATGTCAAATCTGGACCCGACCTGACCTAATAATATAAGACCTGCAACCAACCCGTGATTTGTGCTACACACAAATATTTGAACTTTTGCATAAAGCATAACAGATAGAAACATGAATTAACATTTTGGAATAAAAACTCAATCAAGACACCAACACAGTTACCACTACATTTCTTTCCTGAAAGATGAAGCAGTATGAAAACTAAAAAGTCTTAAAAGACCTTTATTTCTCCACAGAGCATATAAAGCAGCATTAGGTCCAAAATATTTCTTGATAATTCCTCTGATATTAAACCAAAATGTAACACTTCATGTGTAGTGGGCCACTTTGAAACAACATTTTCTTACATTTGCTGAGGTGGCAGAACAGTCAACATAGTGAACCACAGAAACAGAGACAGTGGGGAAATCAATTTCAATGACTAGGCTCACAAACAAAACCTCATCAGTGGAGAAAATGGCTTTTTACAACCACTGCAAATTGTAAGCTTTTATAAATTTTGCAAACAAGACAAGGGTAATGTTGGTCGTAAACATTTAGCTCAGCATAACGGCTATTTGGAGATGCAGTTTGAGTGTGGTGTGGTCTGATAAGTGTAAGTGTGTGTGTGTGTGTGTGTGTGTGTGTGTGTGTGTGTGTGTGTGTGTGTGTGTGTGTGTGTGTGTGTGTGTGTGTGTGTGTGTGTGTGTGTGTGTGTGTGTGTGTGTGTGTGTGTGTGTGTGTGTGTGTGTGCGTGTGTGTGTGTGTGTGTGTTTTGAATGTTGCGGGAAAAACTTTCTGTTGTGGGTTTCTGGATTCAATTCACATTCACTTCAACGACTTTCTTATTACACTTCCAATATCCCCATAAATTAAAATGATACCACATATTTGATTTTATTTTTCTCTCATATTACTGATATTTAATATGTATTTATAAATATTTAATAACTGGTCAGAGTTGAGCAGCATCTCTATTATAAATAAAATAGTATCATCCAAGTCTCCTTGATATACAGTGTATATATATATATATATATACATGAGTTTGGCTACTGTTATATAACCAGATATTGTGTTGCATTTTCAAATGCCATTTCAATATGTTTTTGTTACTTTCACAGATTTGTTAAGTAACTAAAGTAAATAATTACTTTCTTAAACACTGGTAGGCAAACTCTCAGTGGAATAAACCATTAATTTTGGTTCAGATCCTGTGTAGTGACTAGTGACATTATTGTTCCTCCACAGGCTTTACAGGAATTAAAAGTACTCCAAATGTATGATGTCAGTTTTATTTTGTTTACTGCTCAGTGACATGTATTATGTGGTGGACTGACTGGTCAACTGTGGACGTATCATCTTCCAAGAAAATCCGTTAGAGCAATTAATGCCCTGCAACGCCTGAAAGAAGAGCTAAAACATGGACAGCATCCTTAAGGCCAGAGGCTGAATAATGCAAGGCCACGGCATCCATCAAAACTAGCTTTAATTGCATTTTTTTTACCCATTTTCTTGGTGTTGATGTGTCGCTGTGAATTCACATTTGTGTAAGTATACCTGAGAGCAAGTGTCAGTCTGTGTGTTATGACTGGGTGCAAACATTTTAGCCTATACTGGCCAATAGGCTACAGATAAAGGCTCCAGTACTTCTATCTGTCACCCAAATGAAAGAACAGGAAACTGACAGCTGATAAGATGGCCCACGTTTTTTATTCACATTACTTGCATTGCCACAAACCAATCCCTCGGCACACTTTTTGCTGACTGGCTAGTTCTCTGTCCAGTAGTGAATAAAAAAAAGGGGGGTGAGGAGAAATTGGTCCTCTGAGCAGTTTCTGTAGTCCTTCTACTTCTCTAAGTCCCAGACTCCTGCCCTCTGTTTCCATGCAGAATGACTGCGCTTTATAGCTGATGTAATTTGTGCCTGCCACAGCCGTTGCCTTTTAAGCAGACAAATGAGTTACGGTAGGTGCCACTTATGATAATGTCTACAGCCATCTACGACCAAGGGAAGAAACTGGAGTGTTTCTCCCATTTCTGCAGAAACTGGGGGAAACACACGTTGCTGCTGAATTGCTACTTTCCCATTATACCCACTGGAGATGGGAGTGAGGATTGGTAGTCAAAGTCGAATTTTAGTTGGGGAGCATGAGTGGTTGTTTTAGCCGCCTGACTGTATGTTGTAAAATAAGTTATTTGATGCTTGAACAAGAAATTGAGGCCACATGCGGTGAATTGCTGATGACAGAACCTTGGCTCTTATCGACATGGATGACAATATCAGTCCACCACTTCAACAGCTATCAGATGCACACATTTATGTTCCCTACAGAATAAATCCTACTGACTTTGGTGATACCCTGATTTTTCCTCTAGCACATTCATGGGGTTGACATTTTTGGTTTGTAGTAAAATGTCTTAATGAGTATTGGATGGATTGCTATCAAACTTTGTACAGACATTCATTCACCCCAGAAGATAAATCCTAGTGACTTTGGTTATACCTTGACTTTTTATTCAGCACTACCAGCATGTTTTCACTTAGCCAGTGAAACATCTCAAATTCTACCTGATGGATTGGCATAAACGTTTGTGCAGACATTTATGGATTCCGGATGATGTAAGGACTGTAATGATTGCGCCAACATGAAACCACAGTTGTGGGTCTGAGTGAAATGTCTCAACATCAACTAGATTTTCATGAAATTTGGTACAAGCATTTCTGTCCCCCATACAGATTAATTGTCAACTTTGGTGATTAATTGACGCTGATTTATGACAAAATACATGCAAAAGTAATGACATTACCATCTGTTATTCTAACACACTAATTTAAGAGAATGAACATGGTAAACAATATACTCAATCCAGTCCAATCCAATCCACTTTATTTATATAGCACGATTTTAACAAACACAAGGTTTCCAAAGTGCTGCACAAAAAGATTCAATGTTCAATTCACTGTTATTTGTATAGCGCCAATTCATAACAGCTTTTCAAATAGAGCAGGACTAGACCGAACTCCTTATAACATTATTTACAGAGACCCAACAGTACCACCATGAGCAAGCACTTGGCGACAAGGGCAAGCAAAAACTGCCTGTTAAAAGGCAGAAACCTAGGACAGATCCTTCGGCTCTAGGTGGGTGGTCGTCTGTCTCGACCAGTTGGGGTGAGGGAGAGAGAGAGAGTAGGAAAAAGACAGACAGACAGACAGACAGGTGCACAGTCAAACAGGACCATGGCAGGAGGCTCCACCAGGATCGATAAGAACCTGCGAGACGAGAAAGCACTAGAACTCTGGGGAAGAAGTGAAGTTAGTAACATGCAGTAATGGGACATGAATGAGTGCAGAAAGAGAGAGGAAGTGATTAACAGAGTAAATAGATAACACAATAGAAGCACAATAGAAAGATGAAGTACACATTAGAAAAATAAAAGCAATAAAATAAATAAG